GTGTGTGTGCATTTAATGAGTTTACAACGATCATGTGAAGTAGTTATATATTTATCTAACTTTTATTGCAGGGTTGTGTGGGAGAATTAAGTGCACAATGAATGATCATTTGACCAGCTGAAAGCTCCTTAAAGAGAATATTATTCTAATGTATCATTATTATAATCATTATTATTTATTAGCGATTTTATTACATGCTTTGGCTAAATTTTCTGCAAAGGTCACGAGTGTCTCAAATAATAATGGAAATGTTCTTGAAAGAAGAAAAGCCAATTAACCACCTGAAAATTGTTTCAACTCTCTAATAATCAGAGAAATGCAAATTTAAACAACTTTAACATGCCACTTTACACTCATCAACTTGGCAAAGATAAACACTATAAAATTCAGTGCTGATGGGTTGTAGAGAAACAGACAAAACTATTACGGGGCTGAAAGAGCTGTGAATTGGTGCAATCTTTTCAGGAAGCAATATGGGATTTTACAACAAAGCTGCAGAATTGTTCATGCCTTTTGTCCTGGTGATCCCATTTCTAGGAATATTCCTAAGAATGTTCCTAACAGTAAAAAAAAAAAAGGCCCTAGTTATACAGATGCATTCATTATTCATAATAGCCCAAACTAGAAATAATCCATAATATGTTGTGCATGGCAATGCAGGTAGAAAACCATTCAATTCATTTATTTGACATTTATTAAATGCTTACTGCATGCATTATTCTAAATATTGGGAGAAATACAAAGATAATTAAGATATTCCCATTTCAGAGAAAGGGAAGATATAATGCATCCTAACACCAGCACCACTTAGGTGTGTGACCATACATAAACCACTTAAACACATTACCTTCAGTTTCCTCATTTGTAAAATGAAGATAAAAATGTAACCTCACAGGTTAGAGATAAAATCCTTTGTAAATATTAAAATATTGTATAAAATATAAATTGTTAATATTTATACTATACAAATCAGTAATTTTACATAACATGATTATAGTTGACCCACCATGAAGGGTTGAAAGTTGCCTTGAAAGTAAGCTCCTCGAAGGCAGGAGTCCCTTCCTTCCTTCTTTCCTTCCTTCCTTCCTTCCTTCCTTCCTTCCTTCCTTCCTTCCTTCCTTCCTTCCTTCCTTCTTCCTTCCTTCTTCCTCCCTCTCTCCCTCCCTTCTTCCATCCCTCCTTTCTTCCTTCCCTCCCTCCCTTCCTTCCTTTCTTCATCTCTAGCCCCTACCATAGTGCCTGGCACTTAACAGGTACTTAATAAACATTTGTTTTTTAGTTGATTGAAATGCCTTCTCAGAACCAAGCTATTTGTGAGCTGAAGGCACAGAATTCAACTCTGATTGCCTTTCAGATAAATCTCCTCTCCCTAAGATCAAATAAGGAGAACCAGTCTCTTCAATGTGACTTATCCTGAGGGCTTTCCTAATTAAGGACTGAGGTGGCTCATGTGAAATACAGCTTGATCTTACTTGATGAATTAGCTGCATCCCAGAAAAGTGAGGTAAAATGGCATATAATGAATTATGTATGTAACAACAGTCAATTAATTAATTAATAAGTCAACATGAAGCTCTGACCATGTACTAGGTATAAGGAAGTAAAGAGAATAGGGTCTGTGCAGCTTGTGAAATGGTCATTCTTCTTCCAGGGTTGTATTGGCAACCCTTCCTTAGGCAAAAATTGAATCTTGTCACAGCTTTCCAACTAGTGGTAGTTTCGCTGGTGAGTAGAAGAGGATCCTCTCTGAGATAGATTCAACTTTTCCATGCAATATTTTTATTGTGCAGAAATGGTTATTTTAAAGTTTTTTTTAAAAAACTATTTTAAATAGTTAAATTTATCTGATGAGTTGCTGAATAGTTTTGAAGGGATTTGCTTATTGTGTTATGGAGATAAATGGTTATTTGCTTCAATTTCTTCTTTTTCCAATTAACAAGCATTTATTTTCTCTTCCATCTACCTTTCCCTCTCCCACTGAAAAAGAATAAAAACTTTGTGACAAATATGTGTAGTAAAGCAAAACTAATTCCCACATGGACCGTGTCTAAAACCATATACCTCATTCTGTACCCTGAATCCATCATATCTCTGTCAGGAGGTGGGCAGCCTGATTCATCATTGGGCCTATAGAATCATGGTTGATCACAGACTTGATCAAAGGTCTTAAGTTTTTTAAAGTTCACTTTTACAATGTTGTTATAATATAATTGTTCTGGTTCTTCTTATTTTATTCTGTATCAGGTGTTCCCAGTTTTCTCTGAAATTGTCTTTTTCATCATGTTTTATTTTGAAGCAGTATTATATTACATCCAGATAGTATAATTTGTTGGACCATTTCCCTAAGTGGTGGACACTCCCATCTGTATAGGGGTCCTTTTCTTCTTTACGTGAAGCACTGGGAGTATAGACTTAGTAGTGGTATACTTTAATTTCTTTTTGCAGTGGAAACTGTCACTGAAACTATTGGGTAATACCAGATCTGACAAATAGATTCAACTGTGGTATACTGGAGGGGGAGGGGGAGGAGAAATGTACTGAATAGAAAAGAAGGAAGGCCAGAAGGAATCACAGGTAAGCAGGATAGGTTTAAAAATTACATGCTGAATTTACAACATACTTAAAAAGAAAAGCAAGCTTTACATAAGAGATCCTCAATTTCATGCACAATCTTCCGTTCTATGTTGGGTGTGGAAATGCTCACTTTATTTGGTGTTTAAGTTCAGAGTAAAAAAAGTTTTTAAAAATACTGGACAGAAGTCAGAAGCCCTAGGTTGGGGTCCTGAGTCTGCTACTTGGGGAAGTCCCCTGGGGGAGGAGCCTCAGAAGGTGAGATTAAATTCAAATCAACAACTTTTTTTTTAAGTATCTGCTATGTATACCATATCTGCTACTATACCAAACACAGGGAAATACAAAGACCCAAAACAAAGTCTGTCCTTAAGGAGCATTTGTTTTACTGACAGCATACATCATGTATACAGAAAAGCAAATACAAGGTAATTTGAAAAGAGAGAGAGCAATAACAAATGAGATGATCTGGGAAGGCTTCTTGGAGGAGGGGTGCTTGAGGTAGTAAGGAAGACTAGAATTCTTAAAGGCAAAGAGAAGGAGGGAGTATATTTCAGGCATTTGGAGATGGCTTATGCAAATGCACAAGATTGGGTGATAGTTTAGTTAGAACTTGGAAAGAGTGGCAACGTGAAATAAGACTGGAAAAGCAGTTTGGAGCCCTATTGTGAAGAGCCTTAAAGGCCAAGCTAAAGACTTTGCATTTAATTCTAAAGGCAATAGGGAGATACTAAAGATTTCTGAGCTATATAGTGACAAGACAAAATCTGCCTCATGACTTAGAAAGATTATTTTGGCAACAGGATTGGAAAGCCTGGAAGCAGGGAGACTAGGTAGGAGGTTATTATGATGGATCAGGCAAGAGGTGATATAGAAATTAACCAGTATAGCAGCCATATGTGCAGGGAAAAGAAGATGAATTTGAGATATTTTGGTGTTAACATCAACAGGATATGGCTGCCGATTGACTCTAGGAAGTGGTGAGGGACAGGGAGAAATAAAGGATGACTCTAAGATAATGTGTAACAAGTATTATGATAGTGATCTTGACAGAAAGAGGGAAGTTTTGAGAAGTGGCTACTTGTGTGACCTCAAGCAAGTCCTCAGTTTCCTAATCTGTGAAATGAGGGGGTTGGGCATCTACAATCCTTTCATCTGCAAAATTCTATTTTAATTATAAACAATGGAAAGGAAAAGGGAAAGAATCAAGTGTTGAGGCAAAACCGGAAAGAGCTCTGGATCTGGTGGGGTCAGAGGCCCTAGATTCAAATGTGTCCTCTGATGCTTCCTCCCTGTGAAACCCTGGATAAATTAGATGATCTTCCTGTGTTTTGGTTTCCTCATCCATAGAATGAGGGAGTTGTACTGGATGGCCTGTTAGGTCCCTTTTCTCTCGACATGAATGATCCTGTGAACCTGGACACTTCCTTAAAACTTTGAAAGTTGACTATCTACATTTCTGGATATGACCCTGGCTTTAAATCAGACAAAATCTTATAGGCTTTCTAATGTGGCTGGCACTTCTCTTTGATTAAACAAGGAACACTAACTTTTGTGAGGGTGGACGGGGATGGTGTTGGAATGTGGATTGAAGCCTGAGATGAGAGAATGGAAATGTACCTTTTCAGGGTAGATCAGGAATTTCAATATCTTTGTTTTAGCCAGTAAAATTATGTCCATAGGAAGTTATGTGACTTGCTTCAAACAACAAAGGGAGTCAAATGTATATCTCCTTCTGCCCTCCATCAGACTTCAGAATATCTGAATCTTAACCACTTTTGCTCATTATATATTTATAAAAGTGTCTGAGTTTCTTCTAGCTCAAAATCTCTCATCCTGTGATTCATGAACTTCATCATGTGCAAAGGGTATGCTTCCTGAGCCCATGTCTACCTTTACCCAATGGCTCTGTCATTATCAATGACATCAATGAGCCTGTGAGTTTCTCCTGTCCATAAGCCTGAGATTCTCCCTTACCCTTTACCCTCCTCTCAGAGAATAACTTCTATTTTTTCCTCCCTATGAACATCAACTTGCTGCTTCCCTCACTTTCCCCTTTTCTTACCTCTTGTTTTGGCAACTTTTATTCTTCCCATCCTCTTCCAGGAGTCATTAAAATTCTGAATTCTCAGGAAGAGAAGTCCCCACATGCAACTCTACCCTACTCTACAGACAACTGATGGTGTTTGGCTTGAGAATGTTGGACTGATTGTGACACATCCCCACTTCCCAGTGGAATCAGGTCAAATTCCAAACAACAGATTCTAAGAGATGTCTCATATTCTTCTGTGGTATTAGAGATTTATGTGTTGAATAATCACTGAAAAAAAAACCCAACATCAAACTTATGGCCTACAGGTCAACCTAATTAAAATGGGAAATGTTTAAGAAAAGAAATGAAAATACAGCACATCACAGATGATGTTAATTTGTAGTTTTCTAAATAAATATACCAGCTTATGGGGATCTCTTTCTATTTGAGTTTGAAACCACTTACTATTGGATGAAGTCACAGGTCAGTCTTAAAACAAAAGAAGAGATGATGTTGGACAAGAGAACTGTAGTGGATTCAAGAAGGGAAAAGTTGGAGACCCTTTGCTTTGTAGTAATGGCAGCCAAAAGAACTCACAATCCAGTTTCCTATGCATGGAAGGACAATGTTTCCTGCCGACAGAGAGCTGTTCTTGTTGGTAAGTGTTTCTTGAGCTGTAACAGTGTGTAAAAGACAGTAAGTACATAACATAAAGACCTGACCCTTAATGAATTGCTAATTTCAAACAGCTCAATCAAAGAATCAGCTGGGCAATGTACCACTTCCTAATGAATTTAATTTTTCCAGTGTAATATTATGGTCAGCTGTGAGACTGAGAGGAGGTTTGGGGGTGGTAGTGCTAGAGACATCACTTTTGCTGCAGTGACTCATGCTTTTGCCCAAGTAATAGATAGGATGCTTTGTCATCAGCACTGCTCTTTTCTGAAAGAGGCTCACTGCATAGGGGTGACTGAGTTATCATGGTCCTAACTTTGGTTTCTGGGACACAGACAGTGAAGTGAACCATCTATTTTCCTTGAGCTAGAGAGAAAAACATGATTTCATTCTTAGGAAACATCTTTATTTCCAAAGTGCTGCTACATATATTGCTTATCACTTTTCATTCTCCCAACTAGAGAGTATTGGAGTGGCAGTCATCACTGTCTCCATCTGAGCAATGGAAATAAATAAGAAGCTAAAAATTAAGTTGACCACAGTCCATGGCACAGATGGGTTTAAAGCCTTTAGTCTCAATTTCTGGCAGGCTCTGGGCCTCCTCTTCACTCTTCCTCCTCCCCAGATCAAGAATCCCATTATTATTTTTTCCCCTCTATCCTGCTTCATTTTTATGTGATTATTTTCCAAGATACTTTCCAAGATACAATGTGATTTGGAGAGGCTTGCTCTGATCCAAAAAAATGAATTTGTGTACTGGAATGCAAATTGCTTTGGCAAGTATTTATGAAGCACCTACTATGTGCCAGCACTGGGAATCCAGAGTTAAAAGAAAAGCTCATCCTTAAGGAGTTCACATTCTATCAGGGAGAAGTAAATGAGAAATAGATACAAAGTAATTGTGCTATAGAAGTACTACTATCCCTTTATGTTGCTGTCCTTCATTCAAAGAAGACCAATGATGTCATGAAAGTCTTGACTTGCTTGTCAGTTGGACTTAGGTACTAATAAGTGGAGTAATTAATACAAGATGTTGTATAGGAAGTGGTCCTTGAGTTAAGCCTTGAAGGTAATTAGAGATCGTATGAAATGGAGTTGGGGCAGGAGAATATTCCAGGTGCTGGGGACAGCAGGAGGTGGAATGCCATATTCAAGGGATAGCAAGTAGACCAGTTTGGAAGAAATGTAAAGTTCTTGAAGGGAAGACATGTGAAGTAAGTCTGGAAAGATAAGGAATGTTATGGAACTTGGAAAGTTTCCTATGCAAATAGTAATGCTTTCCCTAAGCATAACTCATTTTCAGGGTTCCTGGTCAACTGCCCAACCAATAACTGATTCTTATAAGAACTTTGACTCTCAGAAACAAAGAGGATTTGAGAGAGCATCCCATCCAATCCCACTCTCTTACATGTTTGTTGTTGTTCAGTCATTTCAGTCATGTCTGACCTTGTAACCCCCATTTGGGGTTTTCTTGGCAAAGACACTGGAGAGGTTTGCCATTTACTTCTCCAGCTCATTTTACAGATGAAGAAACTGAAGCAAACAGGGTTAAGTGACTTGCCCAGGATCACACAACTAGGAAATATCTGAGGCCAGATTTGAATTCAGGTTTTCCTGACTCTAGAACCAGATCTCTATATACTGTACCACCTAGCAGCAACTCCTATATGTTACAGGTGAAAAAAAAAACCTGATACTCAAAGAGGTTATAGTGGGGGGGTGTTATAGTAGGAATATCTTTGGTGTTTGGGTTGCACTTGATGCTCTCTGATGTTCATTTATATTCTGTAAGGTCAAGTGATTTATTCAAGGTCGCGAATTAGTGATAGAGTTAAGATGAGGGAGGAAATTCAATGTAATGGAAGAGCCCTGGTGTTTGAGTCAGAAGACTTGGATTGAAATTCAATGCTGCCACTAATCACATGACCCTGTAAAATGGGGATAATTCTTGAACTACTTACTTCACAGTGTGGTTCGGAGGATCAAAAAATTAAGGCATGAAATATGCATTGTAATCATCAGGCATCATGTAGATGTAGGGTATTATTATTATTATTGCTTCTGTTACAACCTAATGACTCCCAGCCTGGGGTGATCTATTCACTGTATCACACTTGGTTTCCCAGGAAACTCCAGAAACAGGACCTCTGGGAAACCACCCTCAGTTATCTAAGTTGTCAAGGTGGGCATGACTAAGTTAATGCAAATCAGAACTCCCACCGCCAAGTTCTGTACTCAATTCCAAGGCCGTGCATCACAGCGTGGGGTGCTCAATTGTCTCTATTTTTAACTCTGCAAGAGTCAGATTGTGTTAAAGACCAATGTGGGCTTTGAGGTGGTGGGGATGGGAGGATGGGAAATCACCACCCCCAAATCCTTTTCATTTCTATCTAAAATGGAACTGTCTGCTTCCCCTCAAGGTGGCCCTTTGGTTTAGACAGAACAACCACAATAATCCTTACTCCCCAACTTTCTTCTGTCATTTTCTTTTCCTTTGTTCTTATTTCATTTATTCTTTTTCTTCTCTTCTTCCTTTTCCCACTTTCTTTGCCCAGTCAGTCTCTTCTTTCTCTACATTTTTTTTGTAATTCTATTCTCTGGTCATGTAATTTTTTCCTATTTTTTTCTTTTCCTTCCCTTCCCTTACCCATTCTGTCTGCTTTCCTTTCTCTATATTCCTTTACTTCCCCCTCTCAGTTCCATACTTTCTCCTTTCCTTCTTTCCTCTTTCTGTTCCTCTCTATTTTCCCCTTTCCTTCTATTTTCTCATTTTTCCTATATTAAACTCAAATGCATATTTTTCTTCAAGAATAGTTAATCTACCATCCATCACTATATCCCAACATACACAAACCCCTGTCAAATTGTATTCAGTAGATATTCCCCTTGATGATGTGTCACAGAACTCTTAGAACTTTAGAAATGAGTCACAGATAACAAAGACTGGGAAAGATAGATCTAGTACGTCTTTTCTTAAACATGAGCTACACGGCCCACAGGTTACAGAAAGGTTCCAAAAAGGTTGCAGATATGAGGTAAAGTACAATTTTATATATGCAATTTCTGATATCATTTAAATGTGGTGGGGCACAGTATAAAGAGTCTGGCTATAGAGTCAGAAGATGTGGGTTCAAATCCTGCCTCAGACGCTTGCTACTTGTGTGACCTTGGGCAAGCTACTCTCTATTCAACTGCCCTAAGCCTCAGTTTCTTCAACTATAAAATGAGAGGGTTGAACTAGGTGGTCTCTGAAGTCCCTTCCAGCTTTACTTCTAAGAGCTATGATATCATTACAACCTCATAGTGTAGTCCAATTCAACTCAACAAGCTCCTTCAAATTTTTCAATAAAATGGATTTTTTTTCTAAGCCTGGACTTCTAGAGAGGGACAAATCACAAACAAATAACTTTTTATCAGTGACTTAATTTTAGTTGTGAGTATATTTTTTTAATAAATAAAGTATCCAGATTATATTGAGATCAATAGACATGCAAACTTCTTTTGCATTTTCTTATAATCCTATTGTACAATAAGTCTTTGTGATCAGAAGACTAATCCTGAATGAATGTGATTCTGAGACAAATTCTAAATCAAAGACACATTTAATCCCATTTATTATCACTACTTTTTTCAAATTAAATTTTATTTTTTAAATAGAAAATTTTCTCTCATCTTCCATTGGAAAAAGAAAAACAAAATCCTTGTATCAAATAGAGTTATTTAAACAAAACAAATTCCCACATTGTCCATGTCAAAAAACATTCATCTCATTCTGCATCCAAAGTCCATCACCTCTCTCTGTCAGGAGGTGACTTACATGCTTCATCAATGGTCCTCAGTTATCATGGATGGCCATTGCCTTGAATAGAGTTCCTATGACTTTCAAATATCTGCTAACAAAGGCAGAAAAGTAATGTAACAAGGTTTAAAATAATGGAAGTATTCCAGTTGACTCTGAGTAAGTCATTAAAATTAAATTAACCTTATTTCCTGAGCAGTCTTAATTTTAAAGTTCTCAATATATTTTTATTTTTTAATTAATTAATTTTGATTTATCAACAATCACTTCCGTATGCTTTTGAGTTTAAAATTTTTCTCCCCCATCCTCCCCACCACCCTCCCCAAGACGGTGCACAATCTGATATAGGCTATACATTATTAAACATATTTTCACATTAGTGATGTTGTCAGAATTAGAGCCAATAAGAGGAACCACCAGAAAGAGGAAAGAAAACTCCACAGAAAGAAAAAAAAATAGCAAATAGTATGCTTTGATCTGCATTCAAACTCCCATAGTTCTTTCTTTGGATGTGGACAGCATTTTCTATCATGAGGCCTTTGGAGATGTCTTAGATCCTTGTATTGCTAGGAAGAGTTAAGTTTATCAATATTAGTCATCGCACAATGTGTTTGTTATTGTGTAAAACGTTCTCTTGTTTCTGTACACTTCACTCAGCATCTGAGCATACAAGTCTTTCCAGGTTTTTCTGAAGTCAGCCTGTTCATCATTTCCCACAGCACAATAGTATTCCATTACATTCATATACCACAACTTGTTCACCCATTCCCCAATTGATGGGCATCCTCTCAATTTCCAATTCTTTGCCACCACAAAAAGAGCTGCTATAAATGTTTTTGTACATGTGGGTCCTTTCCCCATTTATATGATCTCTTTGGGATATAGCCCTAGAAGTGCTATTGCTGGGTCAAAGGGTATGCACATTTTGATAGCCCGTTGGGCATAGTTCCAAATTGCTCTCCAGAATGGTTGGATCATTTCACAACTCCACCAACAATGCATTAGTGTTCCAATTTTCCCACATCTTCTTCAATATTTGTCATCTTCTTGTTTTGTCATCTTGGCCAATCTGATAGATGTAATGTGGTACCTCAGAGTCGTTTTGATTTGCATTTCTCTAATCAATAGTGATTTAGAGCATTTTTTTCATATGACTATAGATGGCTTTAATGTCTTCATCTGAG